CAAATTATTTATATACTTACATTTCACCCATTGCCAAGAAAACAAAATCAGCAAAAGATAGTTACTGTATATGTTCTTTTTTGACAACTGTAACAAGATAAATAAAATAAAAAGTTTTTCAGGAATAAAAATCATTTCTGAGGCATAATTTGCCTATTATGTAGCCGTCGGCGGTTGATTAATCGAATAAAGCTTTAGAAAATTAGTTTAAAGATGCTATGAGTGCCAGGAAAAGTGTAATAAATGTCATTGTCAAAGCTGCTGCTTCACTGTTGCATGACGTCTCGACGTTGACTGTGTATGTAGCTGAGCCAGTTCTTACTGTACCGACAGAATCCACAGCATGTATGACAAGATAATAGGTGTCTGTTGTATTTTTATCAAGGGTTTTCCCTGAAGCGACCTTTAGCTCTGCTGCCGAAATTGTGAGGTCGGTGTTATTGTTTCCAGCTAAAATATATTTTTTCAGTAAAGTATATAAAATCTATCAAATTTCTGTTTACAAGGAAATAAATGTCAGCTTAAGTAAAACTTACTGCTGATAACAATTCAATTTATAATTCATATTTGCTTCTAAACATTAGAATTAAAAATTTCAGATGTATTCAAGTTTTCCAAATGAAACGTCTAAAAATAAATGAAAACAAAGCAATTATACATAAACACTGCGAAATTATCTCAATGGTAATCTGTAGAACGTTATAATGGTAAATCAATTCGTTAACCTACTATTCTTATTAAAAGAGGTTTCAGCAGCTTTAGGAGATTACAAAATTTATTGCAGTAGTTTTGATATTCAGATTGAATAACACTTTAGGTTAATTCTGGTAAGCTAACTGCCACCATAACAGAATTCTTTACCTAAGCTGTACATGAAAATTTTGTAACATAGTGAATAAAAAGTATTAACGATCACCACAAAATTTTTAATTACTGTTTTGGGGAATGTTCAAGAGCCTGTATGTTCTAATTGACGTTGTATACCACACTTAAGTGAAATTATATATATGTATATAATTATGCTTATAAAACAATTTTCAAACATCGAAAAATATGTAAAATGTGTACTGCAAATATTTGCACATATTATATGTAATCATTGAAATACATGCATTCATTTCTTATTAAAAAAATTGACTTTATAGAAAATATTTTATTACCTTCCTTTATTTACATGAAATGTTAAATTCGGTAATATTTTTATAAATAATGCTTTTTGAATTTTAAAATAATGATAAATCCTAATTTGAGCATCATAGCTATGATATAAAACCATAAAAATTATGTTACAGTATCTTTAAGATATGATAAAATCTGTCAACTTTTGTGACCAATATGTCCTCTTTCGTTTGATTTTTGATGTTTTGATATTGTTTTGCAAGGATAATCACTTGTGATTGTTGTCACAGATGACTTTTCTTTTTATTTAAATTCATTATGTTCTCAAAAAAAGACTTGTGGGCCATCCCTTGCCAGGAAGCTAGGAATGCTGACTTAAAAACTCGTGCCCATAACAACTGCTGGTTCGAATCCCAACATGAACATTGGATTCTTCACGCTAGGATGTTATTCAGCTGGCATATGAAAGATCGGATGATCTACTCATGTACTTGCTCATGCCTGAAACAAAATATTTAGCGTAATCTGAGGTCATTTTACACCAGTAAGTCTACAAAGTCGCCAGTGTCGATATGGCATTAAACCAAACAAAAAAATAGACACAGTTAAATTTCTTACAATGAATCGAGTAGGTTATGGTATCAGCTGTGTCTGCATCAGTGGCAGAGAAAGTTGTGACTCTTGTACCTGAAATGTTAAACATAAAAGAAAGGTACAATTAAATATTAAACAATAAAACACAAAGACATGTTGAATTGATGCGGATGGTGTAAATAATTGCAAAAGCTTGCAAAGAAAAGACACACAAATAAATGAATATGTTTTACATAATAGGTAAATTCCTAATATATTTCTTTGACTACCTGAAATGTTAGAATATGTTTGGATCGTTTTGTCTTTTCTTAAAGATACTAACATCTGCTTAATTTTACGATGTAATTTTCAAATTTCAATATAATAGATTCTTTCCACATGAAATTGAAATATCAAAACTTAAATTATACTTCTTTTACTTCAAGAGAATTTATATAAGAATGGAGTACATAAAAAGACATAATATAAGATACATTTATAAAACTTCGAAATCAGTTAGACATTCTGTTCAGTTGTAATTCTAGATTAAAAATATCTGTCATATGTCAGCAAGCCTCATAGGCGGGTCACCTAACCGTCAGATTTTTTTCATATTCCATCAGACTTTGAATTCTTTACATTTAAAAAACAATTTTCAATAAAATTTATGTCATTACATCGGTAACTATTTTCTTAAAACAGCAAATAATATAATAACTTCATTCATATTGTGGATCAGCGAATTATCGTCATCCTAAGCATGCCATTGTATAGCACGCGACTCATCTGTCATTGATGCTAGATGAAATTTCCTGAATGGGTAAAACTAACGGAAAAACCAGTTTGATATGCAAGAAAAAGCTATGGAAGTGACAATTAAAGAGATAACATTTAACAGATGGTAAAATGAAAAAGGGGATAATTCAAGTAAACGGTAAATACTGAGCTAGTCAGGTTTATAGTATAAATCCATTATCACTGATATTTTAATTCAACAAAGAATTTGGACAAAAGGTGACAATACGAGGGTTGTCTTAAAAATCATTACAATAACTTTATTTTTATACACGACAACAAATCATTTATTAAATTCTCTTTTCTAGTTACCTATTTTTTCAATATTAACGACATTGGTTTGAGTTCCCGGCGCATATGAAATCATTTGTATTTTATTATGAAAGAGTTTAAATAAATTACGTATATTTCAAATATCAGATGATGTGTCTGTACAGCATCACGATGACTTCCTCTGCTTTTATGCTGACATCATCGTAGAAAATTTCAGTTATATAACGAACGAGATACGGAAAGATAAAAATATCCCTATAAAATAGGAAAGTTTAAATGGCGGCGTCCGAATATTTTCGGCGCAGCAAACAGTTATCAGGTGCTTTGTGAGTATTTCGGAATGACAGAGGTAATCCAACTAATCCACAGGATAGAGCAGTTAAACCACATATCCTGTGCATTTGTTTACAAAAGATATGAACGAAACCGGAGTTCTGTACTCCAGAAAGCGAAAATGTGAAAAAGGCGAATAGGAAGACCGATCTTCGTCGCCTATTTCCCACAGCTAAAGCAGGTGCAACGAGACCGGAAGCTCGCTTATTGCAAGAAATTAGTGTATGCCGTCCAATGATTCAACAAGGACTAACAAGTATTAGCATTTCCAAAAATGCTTGGAATCGCCGTTTAGTCATGAATATAGAAATAATATTTCATTTCTTTCCAAATTCCTTTATTGAGTGTGGTCAACACATAAAGGCATCAAAAATAATTGATTTACTCTACTATTCCGTTCTATATTCTGCTGTGTCAGAATGTAGGATATATTGCCCATTGGAAAAAAAACACGATAACTAAGTACAATTAGCTACTGAATCAGTGCACCAATCGTCATAAAGAATTAGCTTCTTGCGTAATTAACAACAGTTACTTTCTACACATTAAAAATGATATCTGTGAATATTCTATAAATGGAATTATGTTCTATACTCCGTCGACTGCTTTTTGATTTTTTCTGAAACGGGCTATATCTGACCTGCTATGTTATAGGAATGATGCGGCACGGGCTACCTCTCTTTATTTGAATTTTCATATTACAGGTACCCTCTCATTTTTTAACACATAGGTACCCTCAAAGCAGGACATATGCTGTTATGTGTTAATCGCTAAGTATGTACTATTTACATAAAAGTAAATACATACTTAACGATTAACGCAAATAAAAGCATATGTCGTGCTTTGAGGGTAGCTATGTGATAAAAAAATGAAAGGGTACCTGTGATATAAAAATTCAAATGCAGAGAGGTAGCCTGTGCCGCTGCAAAATCGAAAGTAGGGTGTTTTTATGAATTTTACATTTATTTTTGAAAATATACTGCCATATGTCCGAAGATGATATGTATATGAACATATTAAATATGCATATATAATCAAGTCATAGGTTCATTTAAGCCCGAAAAATATGTCGATGTGATGGGCGAGGCAAGACATGTCGTTTTTTTTTAGCATTGTGAAGTTGAAGTACATGAAAATCGGGCACATGACAAATCAGCACATAAATAAAACATTCTAGTGTTCCGTGATATACATCTTTTCTACGTGTCATACCTCCTTTTCTTATTACAATGAAATTTTACTGGATTGTTATCCATCGCTGGTTTGTTTTTTAGCAGCGAATGCATGTGCATGTTCAAAGAGTGTACCGTTTGAGCAGATTTCGCAAAGAGGGTACCGATATGGATATGCACCGTGAGGCAGGCGGTGTACGGGTAGAACTGTTCAAATATTGTTCATTGTATATATTGCCGTCCAGGAACGGCGAAAACAACCACATATCAGTCCGTACATTGACGATTTATAAGTAAAACTGCACCGTTTAGGCGTTGAATACTATAAAGAGTATTTGAGATAGGCGCTTTATATAGATTTAACACTGTCATTGACGTTTGACCTGCGCCGCGATTCAAATAGTTGCCAAGGTATTTATGGCATATTTTTGTTGATGATATTTTTCTATGTATATTTGTGAAAATGATTTCCTATTATGGGTTTTTATGACATCAAAATATCAAATTCGTAACTATTTTATGTAGCTTTTAAACAATATTGTCACAAAATATTGGGACAACCCTCGTATATAATGTATATCTACTACGATACTTACGTAGTAGCCTATATAAATTGGAGAAGATAATTATAATTATGTCAACATGTTAACGCCGGAAAATCATTTGTCATCAATGGGTAAACCCTTATCATATAAAAGTTTAAATTGATTCAGTGGTCATCATAAATATTGTATAATTAATCAGTCATATTCTTTAGTGTCGCAAATACTAACCAAACCAAAGCAGTTTTTTCGTTTTTCTCTATGTTTGGTACCACTCAAAGCTTCAATCCAGAATTAAGCCTCAAATGTGACTGATTAATGATAAAACAACATTTTGAAGTGTATTTTGATTTCTTTCTACAATATAAAGTTTCTGAGGAGGGATTTTAAGATATTAGTAAGACGGTATTTTTTCTGTAATTTTCTGGAGGCCTGCTGCTTTAACCAACAGAGTGTAACCTCAATATTTTTTCTTGACATCAGACCAAATGCTCAGTACATCAGGTGCATCAGCTTCACACTTGTACTATTCTTATTTTTATTTTCTGGAAAAAAAGACGGTATTTAGCTAAATACATTTTTTATGCTTGTAAAGGACGGAATTACCTGCAACTAAACCATCTGTCACGCAAACAGTATAGGACGTTGCGCCAAACGTTGGGGTTGCTTCATTAATATCAGTTACTGTGATTACCACCGTTGCAGTGCCGTCAGCACCACCATCGTCAGTCGCTCTGAAATAATTGATGGTTGAAATAAATAAAATAGATAAAAAAAGAATCCCTAAAGAAAGCCCAACACGGCAAAATTGAAAATGTTGCAGGATCGGTTTGATTGAGCCTGTTCATGGACAATACTCGAAAGTGCAAGTTACCGTCCCACGCCCCCTAGCACCGGCTTAAGCAGAATTCAACATTTAAACATGAAATGGTAAAATTTTGAATTTAGAAACATCCGCAGATGTGCATACGGCGGTTATCATGGAACCTTCAATGTGACACTTCCGTGCCTTTCCATGAAAAGCGGCGTATGGTCCCCAAGTAATAAAAAGCGTGTGCCCTAAATGAGAAAACAATGGGCGGAACTAAATATAATGGAATTTTGAATTTGTACCAGTACTCGGGCATATCTTAGAACATCTTGATACACGTTTGTTTGCTAAACAATTTGTTTTTTTTTTTGAGTTTATATATACTGTCAATGGCAGTCTTAAACAAAACATCATTCTTCTTAAAAATCACTCAAAAAGCACTAAATGATAACTGTGATAAAGTTTTAGGTACTTAACGTATAAGCAGTGCACAAAAGGGTCTAATGATAAGAAAGGGGGCATAATCCGGGACAACCTTCAGTCGTATATGACCACCAGGAAGTTATCGTACTGAAATCAGGCAAAATTACGTAAGCTGGCTAAACGCGTCGGACGCGGAGAGTGTAAATCAAGCATCATGATCAATTGCAGTAGATAAATAGATTAGAACAATCTTTGTAGTATGAGGGATGTAATGGTATTGATTGAATGTTCAAAGTGAGCAGATAAAAAATGGAAGGAAACCTGGCCGTATTTAATAGTTCCAATAATACTTTAAACTCGAGTTAGAGGACACTTGATAAATGTAATAATATCTGTGGATAAAGATATATTTGTATGATATCACGTACATATACGCAATGAGATCTTTATACTTGCAAAGTGTATTGTTCATATCTCTTATACTTTCAGAGCTATGTCATGGACAATGTTCAAAGTGTAAAAAAATAACAAAGGGCAATAACTCCAAAATAAAGGAAGGCACAGTTATGCTTCTTTTGAGATCTACCTGCATACCAATTCTATTGTTGATATCTCTTATTGTTTCAGAGCTATGTAAAGTGTAAAAATGAACATAGGGCAATAACCCCAATGGCAGAGTAATGGTTCTCTTGCACTGCATTTCTACCTACGCGATCTATTTACCTTCAAAGTTTCATGTTGATATCTTTTTTAGTTTCAGAGTTATGTCCAGGAAAACTTCAACGTGTAAAAATGAACAAAGGGCAATAACTCCAACATATTAGAAGGCAGAGTTATGCACTGAACATTTACCTATTGAGATCTAGCTACCTAAAAAGTTATATGTTGATACCTCTTGTTGATTCAGAGTTTTCTCCTGGAAAAGAAAGCGGAAGGACGGGTGGACTAAAGGAAATCAGGACGGACGGACATCCGGACGGACGGACAAAGCGACGACTATATGCTCACGGGTCGGGGAGCATAAAAATGGTTTCATATGATAGTCTATTGATTGGTTACATGATGGAAAAAAAACGTTGGAAAATATTCTTATACATATTTTTTATTTGTTTCCTACTATGATTAAGCAAGACAAGTTCATTAGATTTATATTTTTATGCCCCCGCCATATAATGAGGCATATAGTGTTACCCTGTTCCGTCATTCCGTCCTTCCGTCATTCTGTCATTCCGTCATCATAACTTTCCGTTCATTATCTTAATAACGGTTAAACACATTCAACTCAATTTTGGCATATAGATATGTCATGAGAAAATACAGGTCAAGTTCGAATTTGGTCATGGTTCGATGATTTTTGGCGGAGTTATGTCCCTTTTACTATGAAATTAACATGAAATTTTCAGTTTCCGTTCATTATCTCTCTAACGGTATTACACATGCAACTCAAACTTGACATATGGATACATCAAAGGAATGCACAGGTCAAGATCAAATTTGGTCATAGTTCAATGAAATTTGGCTGCATGCAGGGGCATCCGGGGCGTGACGACACATTTCTAGTTTTCTCATTTATTTACTCCTCTAACACACACATAATAACATGAGATAAATATAAAATTACGTAACAAAACAGACTATCAATATAATGGGAGGGTAAAAAACAACATTGCGTTTCGATCTGTTATCAAAATATTCATGTATTTAGATAATCTACAAATAAAATTGTAATTAAACATGTAATCTGCAGCTGTTTGAAGCTTATCTTTTTGCTTCTTTAATAATTATGAAAAACCTATAGTAACTTACTTCACTGCAATAGTATGATTGATTTGACTTTCAAAATCTAGTGCAGAGGTTAACGTCAACACTCCAGTGGTTGAGTTGAGAACGAAAGGCGTGCCCGTTGTTACCAATTCGTAACTAGCAACTGTACCATTGTTACTTGTAGCATTAAATGTTGCTACTGTATCTTCGAGGGCTTTATCCTCAGCTATGGTGATGTCGTCCGCATTACCAGAAGCACTAGATATGATACTTGGGGCAGCCCAGCCAGTGATTGCTGCATCTGTTATATATACTAACATTTAATCAATTTGGCAATATAATTGCCTGAATGAAAATATCGCACTAAGATTTTTATTCAAATATGAAAACGCATATACAGAGTAAGGAGAAAATGCTTAAATTTCTGTCTAAACATGTTTTTGTGTTACAATTATTGTTTTTTATAGATATAATTCTAGACACGTTAATCGAGTCCAATGACCTAGCTGATATGTACAACGCGCTGTTTCAAGTACAATTCAAGTTTTAGATTTTTTAACAAATTATTTCATCATGCCGCATTATAAATCATTTGTTTAACCTTATCACTAAGGCTAGTAAAGCCAGTGTTATTCTTGTCTTCCAATATTATTCCAGGGTCTTTCAAAAATTTGAAAGACCCTGGTTATACATATATAACTTGAGGATAAAGTGAATAATATTATAAAGGATCAATTGAAAATTAGTGACATTAAAGTGACTTCAGTACAGCGTATCCTTAACCATAATTCCGAATCTCAAACGCCTGGAGTTGTGGTAGCAAAATTTAACAGTGAAAGTGAGCGGAACAAAATATTACAAGTGAAGGGAAAACTCCAGAAAACCGTATATAAAGACCTGTTTATCCATGCAGATCAGTCGAAGGATGAACGCCGTGAATCCAGTAATTTACGCGCAATGGTGAATGCGGTGAATAGGGGAAGTCGTCTTAATATCAAGGTCAAGGATATAGAGGGCAAGGACGAGGGGGAAGAAGATAGGTGACTTCCGGTTTCTGGAATGTAAATGGGTGGAGTACCGTTAAAAACAGTGACAATTTTATTTTAAGACGTGAATGTGTTCAGTTTTTAAATGTTGACATTTTAGGTATTGCTGAGACTCATTTGTATAATAATGATATAGTACCAGGGTTTGTTTGGTTTGGTAATAATCGTAAATCATTACATATAAATGCAAGGTCGGGCTCAGGGGCATTGGATTTTTAATTAAAAAGGAAATGTTGGATTTTTATGTTATAGAAATTATTGATAGCAATTTTGAGGGCATATTATGTTTAAAATTTTCAAATAAAATTTCAGGGTTAAAATTTTATACATGTGTATGCTATCTGCCACCTTATAACTCTTCTAGACAAATTGATGTTAATAATTTTTATGATTACCCTATTATCTAGTATATATGTATATCAAAATGATTGTCCATTATATATCTGTGGAGATTTTAATAGTCGTATTGGTGACAATTGTGATTTTTTTTATTGGGGTTGACGATTTGCCAGACAGAAATATTGAATGGTCGAAATTATATTGAGAATGATTTTACATCAATGTCTGCTAAAAGATGTGCTGTTGTTGATTATTGTATAGTCGCACATGATAGTTTGAACCGTTTTAAAAGTTTCACAGTTATTAGAAGTACTGAAATGATTTCTAACATTCAGGTAAATACTGACCTTATACCTGTATCCATACCAGACCACTCTATATTAACATGTGTGGTTGAATTTGATAATTATAGTGAAAATGTATACACTCCGTATTCAGAACCTGTATGTGAAGCTGTTAGTTTTGATAACTTTGATTTAAAAAGTGTACCAGGTACTTTTTTGAACACTCATGATGTAGTTTCTTAACTTCATGATACAGTTTTAAACTTGTACAAAGTTTACAGAATCAGAGTCATATTGACGATGCTTATTCAAGCCTTTTTAATATTTTAAAGAATGAGATGTATGACATATTATCTTATAAATGTATTAAAATTGATGTTGGTATCTCTAACAAGAAAAGAAGAGTTAGTTAACCCTGGTGGAACAGCAACCTATCTCGCATATGGAACAAACTATGTGAAGCTGAAAGAAAATGGTTGAAAGGTTCTATTGGACCAGTTAAAAATCATTTAAAGGGTGTTTTCATATCTGCTAGAGAAAATTTTGACCGAGAAGTTTAAAAGTGTAAGATAGCATATTGAGTTTCTTTACAGAATGAATTACTTCTTGATTGTGAACATAATCAAAAGAAGTTTTAGAAAAAAAAACATAGGCAAGACAGGTGTTGGGCAATCAAAGGAAAAGGGTATACCATTAGAAGTAATTTGTGAAGATGGTTCTATTAAAAATAATATTAGTACAGTTTTAGATAAATGGAAAAATGATTTTAGCAGTTTGTTTGTTAGTAGACAATGCAGTGCTGAAACTACCGTACTTCAATAATGATTGTCAAAATAATCGCTCTTGTGATAGTTTGAATGAAAATATATCTATAATGGAAATAGAGAAGGCTGTTACCAAAGCAAAGTCTGGTAAATCATGTGGTATAGACTCAATACCAGTAGGCATTTTGAAAAACCAATGTTCAGTGTCGTTTTTACATATTTTATATAATGTTTGTTTCAATACTGGTACTATTCCTACAGAATGGGACAAAGTTATTATCAGCCCTATTCCAAAATCTAGTACAATTGATATTCGAGATCCACTGTCCTATAGAGGAATCGCTTTGTCTTGTGCTATGTATAAAACATACTGTTCAATCCCAAATGAAAGGTCGTCAAAATGGACCGAATCAAATCATATTTTAGTGGATGAAAAGAATGGGTTCAGAAAGGGTAGAAATACAATTGATCATATATATTTCATTAACTAATATTATTGATACTAGAAAAAAGGCCAAAAAATCTACTTTTGTGCATTTACTGATTTAAAAAAGCGTATCATTTTATAAATAGAACTATTTTATGAGACAAATTAATGAATTTTTTTAAATTGTGTTAATGGAAAAATGATGAATGCTATGAAATCTCTATATAGTCAAGTTACATCTAGTGTTAGGGTTAACGGTTTGTATACAGATTGGTTTGATGTTAAATGCGGTTTAAGACAGGGCTGCTCCTTATCATCTTTGTTATTTAATTTATTCGTAAATGATCTGGCAGTATCTATAAAAGCGGTAAGGGTATTTGCATTGATAATGAAAAACTATGCGTCATTTTATATGCAGACGATATTGCACTTATAGCTGAAAATGCAGAAGATTTACAGTTCATGTTAGATATGTTAAATAATTGAAAGACCTGTTTCTGTTCCCAGCACTTTATACAGTTTCAACTGTGGGGACCACAGTTTGATGCTTGATTTTAATATCATGGTGAAATGTGTTTCTCAGAGTGCTGGTAGAGCCCTTGGTCTCCTTTTAGCAAAGTCCAAGTCCTATGGTGGCATGCCATATAAGGCATTCACAAAACTGTACGATAGTACAGTATGGCCTGTTATTGCATATTCCTGTTTGGGGAACAAGATCCTATTCTTGCATAAATGCAGTGCAGAGTCGAGCAATGGGTTGGGTAAATATACCACTATTAATGTCATTTATGGTGAGTTAGGTTGGCAACCCCTTATGTGAAACAGTGGAGATCTGTGTCTCAACATTGGCATAGAGTGAAGACAATGGATAGTGAGAGAATTAATTTCAAGATTTTTAGATTTTGTGACAGTAAGAGTAATAATAGTTGCAAAAATTGGCAATTTCTGTATAAGAAACATCTATTGTCAAACAATTTATTGAATATGTCAAACGATTGTATTAACATGTCTTCCAAACATTTTTGTGATAAGATAATTAAGTGCACCATGGATACTTTCATTCATGATTGGAGAACCAGTATACAAAATGTTACGGATCCCTCTGGTAGAGGTAGAAAAAAACTTAGGACTTATACGCAGTTTAAATCTGTTTATGAAACTGAACAGTATGTTAAATGTACAACTTTGCTAGTAAATACAAGTCTGCGTTAGCTAAGTTTAGATACGGAGTTGCCCCCCTCCGTTTAGAAACCGGGAGATACGAAATTATCCCAGAAGAACAGCGTCTATGTCCGATTTGTGAACGTGCATATTTCATTGCCCATTGTATCAGAGTCTCAGAAATGATATTGTTAAAATAGCTATTGAGATAACAATTTAAGTGATCAGGATAAGTTATATTTTGTACTCTCAAATGAACATATGTTAAAATTAAGTTCTAAAATGTGCTTTTTGATTTTAAAAGCCAGAAACAACAATTTATATATATAGGTTAACAGACTAAATTTCAGGATTAGTCATATATCCTTTTTATTATAAGTATTATTAGCGTAAATAGTGTAAAGTAAAGTTATATTATTTCATTCTATGTGGGATATGGGGTATATATACAGATACTGGCAATTTAAAGCAAATAATATTGTATAAAAATAAGTGTGAGTCTTTAAAATATTTTTAATTCATAAACAAGAGTTCCTGTAATGTCTGTATCTCACCTCCTGCCTGGAGTGAACAGTTCATATAATTTTAAATACATAGAAATTTTAATGTAGAAATATGATATATTTTAAATTACATAACTAAGTTGTTTTATCCCTATGTTATGATAATCACTACTGACAAGTTCAGCCATTGTCTAAACATGAGTGATAAATGATTTTGTAAAACCTTTTTTTTATCTTGCGTGATAGTGCTTTTATTACAAAATTTAGTATTTTACAGTGTAATTCCTTATGGCAGTTTTTAAGTCAAGGTCAGTAGAGGTTATCAAACTTTTAGAATGTAAAAAGTCTATTATAATTCTGTATTTAAATGTCTCAAATAACTTTTTAAATAATGACCATTTGCAATTATGTCATCCAATTGCAAATGAGTTATATGATGTAAATGTTGAGAACGTGAATACGTTAATAAGGGAGGTAGATCTACAGTACATATTATACAATTCTATGATACGGATTGTGGAGTTATCCCTCTTAGTATTAGCTATAACAAGTCCCTTGTAATTCTTTCGAGAATGGCTATATACAATTTCAATGTTTTAAATGTTTTATATGTATATATTTGTATAGATGAGACTATAATAAAGAATAAATATATATATCGTTTGGCCATTATTGATTTGTTTCTTATATCTGACCCCGGGGTACAAACAAACTTTTAACGTTATCGCTACACGATCGATGAACTACCGTTCATCACAGTAGAGAGATAAACCCGTTTTATCGTATCTCGGGCTTGATGGAAAAACTCCACACATTAACTCATGTATGTTTTTATGTCGGTGCAAATGTTAACAAGCGTTTACAATCCTAAGACCTAGTCAATTATACATAATTATTTCGGAACAAATATGGATTGTAAATTTCTGTTAACATTGTGTTTTGTTTAATATCATGATACCTAAGAAAGAGGGTGTTGTGTCACTTAAAATATATTTTAATTTTGATTTTTTTATATTCATGTAAAGAATTCAATGTCATTTCAAACAGATAGATTTAAACAAAAACAACAAAAACAACAACAATAACAGCAACAGCAACAACAACAATAATAATAAAAATTATAATAAGAATTATAATAATAATAATATAATTCAGGATGCATGATTATTTAATTACAACTGAAATCAGATTTTAAATGGCAGATTTAAAACTTTATTAAAGGTTATATATCGGCATCAGTTTTTCATTTTCTTTTCTTTGTGTTAACCAAATATTTTAATAAATCATTACAAATATCTCAATTTGCAAAAACCTCATACCCCCAAGTTTGAAGAAATTGACAGCTTGAGATTTTTTCAATATTTTTTTTTTTTGATTTTTTTTTTAGCTTTTTAACCAAGATTTTTTTCAAAAACAATTAGTAAAAAAAAACAACAACAATAACAACAACAAAAAAACCCCAACTATTTTAATCAAAGAAGTTTTGTTTTATTTTTTTTCTGTTTTAAAATATCAAACAGATTTTTATATCGCAAATGAATTTTTTTTTAAAGATCAAAACAAATTAGTTACAGTTCAAGTGATAGCGAATTAAAAAAAAAATGAACGACCGATCACTTACGCAGGTATAAAGTTACCTAAACATTGATGTTATTTTCGTATTATTGATAATTATATTTTTCAGTGAATTTATGAAAATATACTTTTGTTATCTTATGAAGATTATGAGAAAGTGTCATAATTATGATATATATACTTATCATTGTGTTTTATTTCGTCTAATGTATATTATAACACGTAAATACTATTACTTCCTTAACAGGCACATTATGCCTAAGAAATGATTGATTTGAGCCGCGCCTAGACAAAACCAACATAATTGGTTTGCGACCAGCATGGATCCAGACCAACCTGTGCATCCGCGCAGTCTGATCAGGATCCATGCTGTTCGCTGTCAGTTTCTCTACTTGTTATATGGTTTGTAAGCGAACAGCATGGATCCTGATCAGACTGCGCGGATGCGCAGGCTGGTCTGGATCCATGCTGGTCGCAAACCCATTATGTTGGTTTTGCCATGATGCAGCTCATTTTTTTTTTTTGCCTTATTCGTAAGAAACATATTAACTTACCACCAAAATTGAAAAGACAAGCAACCAGCACTACAGCAGTGATATCAAAACGCAACATCTTTTCCTTCCCTTCCAGTTCACCTGTTCAACGAAGTCAATAATTGCAGAATTGTTTAACACTTTGGCTCATGTTTGATTCTTCCGCCTTTTTATAAGATACTTCTGCCGTTTCCATAGTTTGGTTTCTAAAATACATAGAAACGGCAATTTGAGTGTGCGTGCAATAGTGTTAACGACCCTCACCTCTTTTTACGTAAGCAAAACGTGACAGTACATGATTGAAGAAAAAAATGTTGAAAGCCATGTCTTTTGATTGAGATACAAGTTAATCAAAGAATTTTCTGAATGACTTGTAATGTACAATGTCATGATTATAGGTCATGCCAAGGTCAATTTGATGGTATAATGTTGACGTGCTCCGTAGCCATTAACGATACAAAACTTTTAATTAGTTAATATTGAGTTTTTTTTAACGGGAATAAAGCACTTCTGCCACCAAGAAAATAAATTTGTTTTGGAAACTAAATATTTTAATTGGGATTTGCAGTATCCTTGGAACAAATGAGCTACCTGTTATATCCCTCTATATTTGGCTCAATATAATTCTATATCAGCTTTTACAACATATGATAAGAAGAAATTGAAATATGTTAAAACTTTTTTCATACAAGTAACATTCCATTTTTTTTCTTCAAATAACCCTATTATTATTGTTGATCCGAGATATAATGATTATTGCGTTTGTTGTTTTGTTTAAATGTTGTTTTTAAAGGCCCTTTATGCCCAACATTTTTTGTTTGTTAAAACTTATAATTATTGCTTCCAAAAAATGTTACTAATTGGCGAATTACTATTACCATCTTTCCTTCTGTTGCATTTTGGCAATAAGTATAGTTATAGCAATTTAGTATTTCTTTTGAAAGTCAAAGTACTACTTTATATTAATATTCAACTTTATATTTGACTACATTATATTATACTACTTTATAATTATACAACTGCATTTAGCTACGTATTGAAATATGTTTAAATTAGTAGTTGTTGGTTTATTATTTTTTTTTTGTAATTTCGTAAGTACCTCATCTAATTTATTTGATTGGGGAAAAAACAACAGCAAAAAAACACACACACACCACACACACACACAAAACAACAACAACAACAACAACAACAACAACAAAAGACAAAAAAAAAAAAAAAAAAAAAAAAAAAAAAAAGTAAAAATCAAACGACAATGGATGTTCTGTAAAAAGTTATTTTTCATCTAAGAGCCCCCACCCATTGTGACAGGTGGTTGCTTTTAAGAGTTGAGGCATTAAAATTGCAGAGTCGTTTATATCCTGTGTAATGTTTAGTAGCGAATTAATGTAGTCTCTGTATCTTTTAGCTCCAGCAGGTGAAGTGGTTTAGATTCCTGGTGTTGCTTTAAGTTCATAGCACCATGGGCTAGTTTCGGGGCAACATTACCTAAATTGTGTTGGTGCGCCGTAAAATCAACCAAACAAACAACCCTATCAGTGCGTATTATTAAACGTCCTTACTTTGGGTAAGGTATGTATTTACTATCAGCTGACGGTATAGATCTCCGCCATTTTTAATAATCTTTTTTATATAAAAAAATTTGATCACTTTAATTACTTATGAGTTAATATTTATCTCCACTTTAACAAAACACTTGTTAAGATTTTATCCCATATAAATGATTTTATTTTTTGTTGAATTTAAATCACGTGAAGTCACTCCTCTTATATACTTTCACTGGATACATTTAACAGAAGGTTTAAACAAATGAGCCGTGTCACGACAAAACCAACATAGTGGTTTGACCAGCATGGACCCAGACCAGTCTGCGCATCCGCGCAGTCTGATCAGGATCCACGCTGTTCGCTTACCAACCCTGTAGCAAGTAGAGAAACTGATAACGAACAGCATGGATCCTGATCAGACTGCGCGGATACGCAGGCTGGTCTGGATCCATGCTGGTCGCAAACCCATTATGTTGGTTTTGTCATGACGCGACTCAAATTTCTTTTTTTCAATTACGAAACGAGTCAAATACTAGACTTAAACAATTGGACCGAGTAGTCTCGTCAAACAAGTTACTCTTAGTCTCAAATGACACTATTTGACCTCCTATGTCATTTTTAACAAACATTTTGTAAATAAAAAGGGTATTAGGGTATCAGGTGAACAGGTAAAGCTATTCAAATAGTAGATAAATACAGAATCCCTAAAGAAAGCCCAACACGGCAAAATTAAAAATGTTGCAGGCTCGGTTTGATTGAGCCTGTTCATGGACGGTACTGGAAAGTGCAAGTTACCGCCCACGCCCGCTAGCACCGGCTTAAGCAGAATTCAACATTTAAACATGAAATAGTAAAATTTTGAATTTAGAAACATCCGCAGATGTGTTCATACGGCGGTTATCATGGAACCTTCAATGTGACACAGTAGTGTCATTCCATGAAAAGCGGCGTATGGTCCCCCAAGTAATAAAAAGCGTGTGCCCTAAACGAGAAAACAATGGGCGGAACTAAATAAAATGGAATTTTGAAAGGGGATCAGAGGTTATGAAGCCTGCGTATCACAGATAAGACGTCAAAAGACAAATTTAAAAAGCAGGCAACATATCCTAAGGGTGATTCAACATTATTCAAGTAGGAATATTGGAACCACCCAACTAGAAAATGCCGAAAAGTTGGAACTAAAAATACCACAAGCACAACAATAATGTCGTGCTTAACGATCTTCAAGGATCGAAAATATAACATCATTGATTAAATGTACGGGGAGACTTTTTACAGCCAAGCCATAAGGATGAACTTTTAGTTTAAATATAATTTATTTAGCAAATTTACAAGCATGTATCATTCACATTATATATGGATTGGAATAACAAGCATTACACTTATATTAATTCTTTTCCATGATGTAGTTTTGCCTTCATTATTTCACTTTATATGACAAGTGCATGCTTTAAATTTCTATATTAATCTAAATTAAAAAAATTTCGAAGTATGATTTGGTTTGACTTTTGATTCATTTTGCTTTTTCAAATAAAAAAAGAGTAGAAGATAATAATTCCAGTTTGGTTTTACTGAAAGACTGTCAAAATAAAGACTGATGAGTATTGTATTATATGCGTTGTTATTCCAGTTTTGTTAAAATTTACCTAATGTCTGAAGAGTTTAAGACAGATCACTTTTGTTTTGATTTTATTTGATGTAACAAATGAACTATATTTTTCAATTTAATATATTTTTTTCATTAAACAAGAAATGTACAGAGACGCACATAGCGTTTCCCCTCAGCTAAATTTGAGAATGGGTCTGAACCTTTTTCATTTCTGATAGACAAAGCGCAATATGTCTTTAAGTTTTATGAAGTTTTAGCGTTATTTTCCTTACAGACTAGCACACTACTGTCACAATTTGTTAAAGTTAATCATAACCAATTTCATTTTCTTTTGATAAAAGCTCTGTATTTAATCACTCATGCCCATATATATTTCTGCTCATTTGAACACAAACCATGAATTTTTCTACAACAATGCACTCAAATTTGTTTTCCAATTTCTATGAAATAAGGGCATTACAGCTACAGTCGCTCTAACTGTCACATTATTACATGATATTGGGAACATTATGATTGCTTATTGCATTTAAAAGTAAATACTTCAGAAGTGTCTAAAAAAAATGATAAAATTATGAGTAGCCTAGAGACTTGCTCGTATTCGTCAATATGGCAGCCCGACGAGAATGTTTGTGAATTGTTTCATCTCTCAACCGCTGTCCACAAATCGATACTTAGTCCATACCTGTCTCTAGAACATAAATATTTTAATAGATGAATATTTTATAACTTAAAAATATTATAAGAAATTACATTATACTTATTGTTTTAGAATCATTATATTTTCAGGGATAATATCAACATGTTATTTATTGAATATACTTATTTCTTATTGAACAAATATTTTCAATAATTTGATATATTTTTTTTAAAAACATTTTTTTACAACTTTGCAACGCTCAAAACGCCATACGTATGTACTTCAGCACTTTGATTTATTTGACATTTTCATGCTTATCAAGATTCGATTTTTTTTTGGTTAAAATGTTCTTCTTCCCTTGTAATTATCAGCATAAAGACTTTTATAATTTAAAAGAATAAAATTGTCTTGTTTGCGTATTAAGTCTTGAAAGTCAGTATCAAACAGTACTGCTTTGTATTTTTTTTACAAAGGCAAACTAATTATATAACTTGATTTTGGATAAGATGTTAATTTACTGCCGAATGCCACGAGTTTTGTGAATCATAATAAAAATAAAAGATCATAGAATCAATCACATGCACCATCTTAACACTTCAGTACCCATTTTTAAGTCCTTGCTTTGTTGAAAAAAAATTAATTTGCATTTTCGTAAAATGAAAAGATATCCGATTACAAATAATGGACTACTGAACTGACTGATTTCATGTTTTGAAGGTCTTAACGAGACAAAACTCATCAGTGTAATGACTGTTGCACTGCTTTATCATAAAACATCTGAATTTACTATATTCAATATTAAAACTTGAAAACAGTTTGGATATATTAAAAGGTAAATATTAGACAGACAGATAGATGGATAGTTTATTGCCGTATACATTCAGTACATAGTCATTTCACACACATTTGTATAGTATAATTAAACATAATTAAACATAATATCATGGTACATGAACAAAAGTTGTAGCACAAAATATTCAATTTGCATGTTTTTGGAGAATGAACGTTAACAGCATTTAGTACTAAAGTGAGCTTATCTATTATTAAGCGTTTACATTCTTAAAGATATAAAAAGTGGATTTTAAACTTAATCATATGCTGTGATTATATTACATTTAAGAATGTTTCATAATAGCCACATAATTAGGTAATTACAAGAATAAACAATGTCAATTTTTAAATATAACGAGACAAATTTATACGTTGATTTACAGAGCATTTAGTAATTCAATACGATTATTTGTAGCATAATACAAATATTTACCTAAACCTATTAATTCAGACTTTTTATCAGTACTTAATAATTGAATCAATTTGAACATACTTGGTCTTCTGTAGTAGTATTCTACACATCGAAACATCGAAACACGAGGGTATCTGATTTATACGAGGGGGCGT